GTAAAAAAAGTAATTCAAACCAAGTAATGCAGACAAGCAGCGTCCTTAAGTTTTATGGGCCAGTTGGCATCTATGGGGCAAATTCCGTGTCAAAAAGTGTTTCTTCGGGGACCTCAGGCTTCCTCAAGCTCTGTTGAAAATGAGAAGTGATTAAAGATAGCGCCATTCACCCGTTTCTGCTCTGAGTTTGTGCTTTTCTTCTGGATTTTCCCTCACCTATTGTGCTGTGTTCTTTTTAAATGATAACGTTAGTTCTCCGGTCTGAATTTTGGGCTTAGAAGGAGCAGGTAGGGCAAGGGCAATCCAAGCCATTATGTGGACATGAGGAAAGTAGGAAGCCCTGTGGAAACATTCTCTCTCTTCTTTTTTAATTTAATTTTAGGAAACAGGCATGGGCTGTTGGTCCCAAGCAGTACAACAGACCAAGAGCTTCAACATATCCGCAACAGCCTTCCAGATTCTGTTCGGATTCAGCGCGTGGCAGAGCGTCTCTCGGCGCTGGGCAATGTCACGACCTGCAATGACTACGTAGCTCTCGTTCATCCAGATCTGGACAGGGTACGTGGCTCTGTAACGCTTCTGAATTCATAGTGGATGCACACGAAGTTACTGCCAAGCTGCAGTCTCTGGGTGTGTGGTTGTCGAGGTTGTAGCGTGGGGATCAGAAGACCCGTGTTAGCAGCAGAGGTGATGTTGTGTAGGAGGCTCTGCTGCCTCTTGTTTCCTCTGTTCTTGAGAGAGAAGTCTCAGAATTGGATTTTGGACTGTTGACTTGGTCTCAGTTGATCTGCCTCGTTATCTCTCTTGTTGATGTGGACTTTGCCCCAAGGATAGAGAGATGTGTCTTGCTCAGCACGCTGCAGTGAATGCGCTTTGGAGAAGGAAAGAGGTGAGATATAGGTACAGATTATCAGGTGCAGTCTGCTTTGCATATCTCAAAGTGAATGAATAAAAGAGAGAGTGCATGTGTGTAACAAAGAAAGTAGAAAGAAGAGTTTAGTCAGGACTACAGCAGTGACAGGCTGAGGTAGCTGTAATTTGTAACAGTTGAAAGACCCATGGATGGAGGGGTGTGCACCTTTACAGAGGGGTGAAAGGAAAACGGAAAGTTCCTGTGTGAAAGCTTAAAATAAGGGCAAAGGAGACAAAGCTGCTGCTACTTTGTGTTTGAGAACTGATATCTTAATGGCATTAGACAGGTGTGTTGTGTGGCTACGGGTAATAAAGGTCCTTACAGTGTTTGCTTTCAATTTGTGCTAAAGGTGAGGAAGAAATGGGACTTGGTGGTAGGAGTGCAAAGGAAAAATACGAAAAGGGTGGGTGAGAGGAAAGCAATGGTGTTTGCAGCATAGGCTGTGTTTTGAATAAGTATGACAAGTAAGGTAATGTGGCCAGAGAGGGAGAAATCAAAGTAAGTCGCAGTGAAAGCCTGGAGGGGAAGGAAGTTCTTGCAGAAGGATAAGAACATTTTTGTTCCAGCAGCCCTCCCAAAGGAGGAGGGGTTGACAGGGCGTGCTCAGAGAACAGGTCCTGACACAGCCCAGGCACCGCCAGCGGCCTCCAGCAGGAAAGGAGAAGAGCTTTCCCAGTAAGGGCACGGAGTTGTTTAGTGGTAGGGACCCAGCTCAGTGTGTGCAGGTGACTGGAAACATCTGGAGCACAGAGTAAGTGTTTTACAATGATGGGATTGCAGTGGGCTGTGAAAGTCTGGGCAGGCTGATGGCTGTGTGCAGCAGTGGGACTTCACCCTCTCTTTCTGTTTGCAGGAGACAGAGGAGATCTTGGCGGATGTGCTGAAGGTTGAGGTTTTCAGACAAACGGTAGCAGATCAGGTGCTGGTGGGAAGTTACTGTGTTTTCAGTAACCAAGGAGGAATCGTGCACCCCAAAACTTCCATTGATGATCAGGACGAGCTGTCTTCGTTGCTCCAGGTCCCACTCGTGGTAAGGCGTTCGTGGGTTTGTGTTTTCTCTCGCCGCTCCCTTCCAACCCAGTTCCCAGTTCTGATGTTTCTACATCTCATGGCCTCCTGGGGAGTCATTTCTCTGCAGAGCTGTTCAAGTGGGAGATGAGGAAAAGACTCGAACAGCACAAGTTAGGACATTTTTCCCTGTCTTTTCTGAGCTGAATGAGCTGCTTAGCACCTTTACTTTGCTTCTGAAACGTCGTTCTCCCGGGATTATGCAAGTTATACGGAATGAGGTGCTCTGGGGTTTGCCCAAAGGCAGTGTTTGAAAAAGATAAGTAATAAAATCCTGTGCCTGCTCAGTTGGGTTTGTGAATGTCACAATTGCTGTGCCTTTGTGCTTCCTACTTTGTTAGGTTTTATTTCCCTGAATGTAACAATTTTCTCTCCAGAGCTTAAAGGGGTCCATGAATGTTTTTATCTGAAATCTTTATAACTTTGGTGGCAGAAGCTTTAATATTTTCAGGAGTGCGAGTTGAGGCCCTTCACTACAGATTTGTAATGGGGATTCAGGACAAAATGTGTTGCCCTTGGCATTCCTTGTGAGCTCTGGCTGCTCTCTGGGCTAGGCTGGGACGGTGAACCGTGGCAGCGAGGTCATCGCGGCAGGGATGGTGGTGAATGACTGGTGTGCCTTCTGCGGGCTGGACACCACCAGCACCGAGCTCTCCGTCATCGAGAGCATCTTCAAGCTGAATGAGGCTCAGCCGAGTACCATCGCTACCAACATGAGAGACTCCTTGATCGACAGGTAAGGAGGATCCAGGCCTGTGGATAATCATGACCCAAACAGGCAAGATCTGGCTACAAAACTGGCTGTTTTCACAATGGATTTGTCTGTCTTTATTTGTTTTATTTCCTCTTTCCTTTTGGTGGGTTACTGACAACACTTTCCTGGTTGCACAAGGGTTTGTCTCCGTGTCGCTCATGAGCCTGCTTAGTCCTGTATGGAAAGTGTCAGGGTTTTTGTTGCAGCTCTAATACTTTTTGTGAGGAATTGTAGCCATTTCAACTTTCAGGGGCTTTTTTTTTCCCCTAGCTGTTCAGTTTAGCTACGACACAAAGGAATTTATTTTTTTTTTTTTTTAACAAATCTTGGTTTAAAAGTTAAAATGCCAGTGACTTCGTTTAATATCTTGGCTTTTGATTGTTATAACCCTTAAAAATTTTACTTGAAATGCCTGCTACAACCATTTCTGAAGCTGAAAAGACTTTGGAGCTTGTCTGCTGCTGCCTTAAACATTTTTTGTTTGAGGTTTTGCTTGAGTTACCTTTTAATGGGAGACAGCTTTTCTTGTTTTCTGCCTGGGGTGGTAGTGATGCGGGACCTTCCCCGTTCATTCACGGCTGCAGATATTTTTACAACGATCAGGCATACGTATGGATGAATGTCCTATGCAAACTTCATTTGGGCTTTCATCTGATTACAACTCTTAAGATCATTGCTGTGGTGCTAGAGGTGTGTTCTTATAGTGTTCCCTCACTATAAGAAGGATGTTGAGATTCTGGAGCGTGTTCAGAGAAGAGCCACAAGGATGGGGAGGGCTCTGGAGAACAAGCCTGATGAGGAGCGGCTGAGGGAACTGGGCTTGTTTAGCCTGGAGAAGAGAAGGCTGAGGGGAGACCTCATCACCACCTACAACTGCCTCAAGGGAGCTTGGAGAGAGGTGGGTGCTGGGCTCTTCTCCCAGGTGATGGGGGATAGAACAAGGGGAAACGGCACCAAGCTGTGCCAAGGGAGGTTCAGGTTGGAGATCAGGAGGAAGTTCTTTACTGAGAGGGTCGTCAGAAGCTGGCACAGGCTGCCCAGGGAGGTGGTGGAGTCACCATCCCTGGATGTGTTTAAAGAGCGGGTAGATGAGGTACTTAGGGATATGGTTTAGGGGGTAGACAGGAACGGTTGGACGTGATGATCTCAGAGGGCTTTTCCAACCGAGCGATTCTGTGATTCTGTGATTCTGTGATTCTTGAGCTGCCTACACCAGCGTAGCTTAGTGGCCGAGTTCTCAGTTACTGTAAGGATGTGTGGGAATGGTTTATGGCATAAGGGAAAAGTAAGGAATTCTTTGAATGAAGAACCCTTTGAATGAGGCCCCTTCACAGTTCAAGGCTTGGTGACTCTGATCAAAACAGCCATAATTAAACTTGCTCTGAGCTTTTGATAACCACCTACACCAGGCTGAGTGTCCGTTCTGCCTTTGCCAGCCTGACAGGTCTGTTCTCACAGCTTGCTGTGTCTGCATCCCTCTTTTCATAGACCTTTATGTTCCAGGAAGGGAAGTTTCTCCTGGCGCTTTGTAATTGAGAACTGACTGCACTGGTGTTTTGAAACACTTTCTGCACTCTCTGGCACTCATCTGCTAAACCTCCTTTCTGTTTTGTCTTTGTAGCTTGACATGAGCAGCGCTGGTTCCTCCTTCCCAGAAAGCTCCTAAGGAGTGAAATGTCAAGCTGCACTTTGGATTACCGACGTCTGGACCTTCTGATGTTTCTGCAGGCCTAGCCCAAGTAAAAGGCTACAAAACCAATCTTCTGTAGCGTTTTGTAAACTAAGTACTATTACAGAAAGTGACAAATAACATAGATTACGAGTAAGGAATGCTCTCTGTCCCTTTGCTGACATCTTCCAGTTCTTCAGCTGTGCTTTCTCGTTTTGTGATGCTGAGCCCCTCAAGTTAGCCCACAATATTTATTCCTGTGGCTCTTGGATATTGATCACTAGAGATTATTTTGCCTTAACGCAGTGGTGTTCTGCTGCACAGCGATCTGTTTCAGCACAGATATGGCACTGCCCTCTCTTTCTACACTTTGCTAGAGTGGTGATTCTGCTGTAGGTAGACTTAAGAGCCCCTTGCATGTCCACTACCAAAAATACAGTCACTTACTTGCCACTAAATCATTCAAGAAGTCATCACCTGCTCTCTTGCCCTGACTTGCAGCTCTTCCCACAGGGCCAGTGATTCTGAAGTGATCAGCTCTGATTAAAACTGGAGTTTCTCAATCCAAGGGCTTCAAACATCAAAAATGTGCAGCTGCCTCTGGGACAGTGGCACTGGCTCTGTCGTCTGCAGACGCCTGGTGGCACACGTGCTGCTTCTGAGGCATCTGCAAGAGAGAGCCTAGAAAAGCTGTTATTGCCAGGGGGCTTAAATTTGTTACACAGGCATCAGTCACCTATGGGAGAATCTTAGAAGTCAGCAAATCCAAAAAGCTTTAAACCACCTCAAGTTACCTTGGGAGACAAAGGTTAAGTAACACGGTTCTAACCAGTTGCTGCCAATTTGCTAATTGAGAAAGCTCTGCCCTTGTCAGAGTGAGGTGACAAAGAGCAGCTGTACATACTGCTGCTGGTGGAAGATGGTCACTTGATCCTAAACAGAGCTGCCGCTCACCGATCTCATTTCAGTTGCTTCTGCTTGCCCGTTAAAGGTGCACTGAAGGCACAGAAATGCCTCCACTTCCCGTCCCAGGGGTATGTGGGCAGAGCTGGTTTTCTTGTTTGGGGTTTTTTTAGCCCTGAGGCTTTTGGCTTTGTAGAAAATCAAGTGAGCTTCATTTTTATTTTACTGTCTGGATGTTTAGGGAAGGCTTTATGAATTTTGGTTGGCTAAAGGCTGCTCCTTAAACTTAACTTTAAAGATTGCCATAGCATCTTCTCTGATGATAGCAGTGCTGCCATCTGCTCTGTCTAGAGTGGTAACCGAGCCAGGGGCTGCCACTTCCATCAGCTCACCCTCCTCAGGCCACTGGGGAGGCCTGGCAGCAGCTCTTGGCTCCTTGCTACTACAGCTAATGATTTTCGGTGTTCATAGCCCCTTTCTTGGCACTGACTCCAGGTCTCCTCCTCGTAGCATATCTCAGTGTTCAGAGTGAGAAGCTGCTTTCCTTTGGCCACCTCACAGGGTTCTGTTAGGAATAAATGGCAAAGTGTCTACTGTAGCTGGTGGTGGTGGTGTGTATTTGTCAAGGTGAAATGAGTACAGCTGAAGTTTTCCTCTGCAACTTCTGTAACTCTTTCTTCATTCCGGTTATGGGCAGGAATCCTGCTTTATGTTGGTGATCTTGATGTGTGTTGTGTGTTACAAATTGCTTAGAGGTACATGAGAAAAAGAATCTGGTCTCTCTGTATTCCAAATTATTAAATAGGAAAGATTCTGGTGTAGTGGTGGGGTTGTGATGTGCCACAGAGGATTTGAGACAGCAGAACGGGGCATTGCTGATTGTGGCGTGTGGCCTCTTACAAAAGTTGCATTGGTACTGGAAGGTGGCAAATGTGGTACCTGTGGGAATTCTGACCAAGTAAGATGGCCTGGAAATGTACTTTCCTATGTACAAGGAAAACAGCCTGTAATAAAGAATGGAAGCAGCAGAAACATGGACACATGATGGCATGAGAGAGTGTAAACCTGGTGTTTTAATGGCAAGTCATGTCCAAAAAACTGCAAAGAAAAAAGCCCAGACTGCTGAGGGCAGCGCTGTGTGTGTAGTGGGTGCGGGGCTGCAAGGGCTGTGCTCAAGGTGAAGGGGCCAGGAGTCCCCTCTGGCTCCGCACATGGCCCGTGCTGCAGGGTGGTGCGGATCGTGCCAGGAGCACACCCAGAAGAGCCCCTTATGGGCTGAGTTAACTCTGCTGTCCCCTGCGGTGGCAATGTGTCCTGGAGCTGGAATAACTCCACCCGGCCATGAGCTGCTCCCACCACGCTGAGGGCAGGCAGAGCGCGGCGACAGCGCTGCTGAGTTTCTGTGGCACGATCCGGGATCCCAGCAAAGAGCCCGGGTATGGGGATATTCAGGACCTATCACACAAATACTGATGTTTGTGTCCCAGTCCAGGTCACCCCAGAGCTGCACAGGTGCTGATCTCAGAGATGACGGTGGCATGGATGGGATGGGACCTGGGGGGGATGGACCCACTGCTCACCTGTTTGCCTCTTAAACACCTACATAAGTACCTCAAACAGGTAACATCTGCACCAGGAGCCAGCTATAAAGCAGTTTAAAAAGGTACTTAACTGCTGCTGCAGCTCTTTGAGGATGGCTGAATTGTGGCACTGCAGGGTGGGCAGTTTGCCGTGGTGCAGGGGAGTGCCTGGCTCCACGACGCAATGCGCAGCTGCCCCAGGAAACGGCTCAGCTTGCGACAGCCCCAGGGACTGTGCAGCTTGTTACTCAGTGCAGGCTTTGAACAGACCAAAAAAAATCTGCCTTTGGGAAGGAGGATTGAAAACAAAATACAACCGAAAGCAGGTGTTTCTCTAGGTTGTAAAGTAGTTTTTTTTTAATGATGGCTGTTGGAAGTTGCTCAAAGGTTTGGGCTGTCACAGGCCCAGAGATGGCAGCGTACAGATGAGGTGGATGTGCCGTGTGGCTGTGGCGTTCGTCGTGTGCATCTACCACATACAGAGTACACAGAGCAACGGACGGAGTAGCGGGGGGGGGCGTCTGATTTGTAGCTCCGATTTCATTTGGTCCTTTGCACTCCTTCACCCATCACGAGACAGCATCGCTTTTGGTTTTTTTTTTCACTAAAACTCAAAACTTCTGCATCTACTGGCTTTGCACTTACTTGGTAATATGTTTGTAATATTTTTTTTTAATGTTTAAACACAATAAACAGCTTGGGTATGGAAATCAAGTATGAAGGACAAAATACAGTTTGAGACCACGCGTGGTGCAGTAGCTGTGTGTCTGCCCTGCTTCACCACAGCAATATTTGAGCACTACTTAGAAATTTAGAACGCTAACAACCTTTCTGCTTCTCCGTTCCTCCTCACTGTAATTAGGAATATTTTAAGTACCTTTCTTTGTCATCCTTGGATTTTGGTTTTCCGTGACTGGCACTATGAAGCTGTACTGTTTCGATACCAAACGGACATTCTGAGCATTGCGCTGAATAAAATTCAGTTAAAGGCAGAGGGCTTACGCTCATCACCTTCCAGTGAGTGTGCAAAGCAGCTCGTATGCTTACATGAATGGCACTTCTGTACAGGGCTGGACTTTACCGGTGCACTGCAAGAAACTCCTCTTCCACTCTTATTTAACATGGTAGGAATACCAGCATCAACACCAAAATGGGCTGAGTTTGTGGTTAGGACCCATCCTAAACCATTCACAACCGTAAAAGGGATAAGCAGAAGCTAAGAAGAGACTTGTGAGAAGTTTCTAGCTCAAAGTTCAGATATTTTTCTAGCCTTTACCTGGTTTTTATGTCTCTGTCAAAGGGCTCGTGATGAGCTCATTCTACTCTGGGGCACGTTTCCTTTGGGCCTTGCCAAATAGTTTTGCCTGTGAAGAAGTGAGCAAAACCAAAAATAAACAACCCAGTTTTTGAAGGCATACAATGTTTGTAACATCTACAGGGACTGGGTTTGGTTTTATAAACAGGCCTAATTGGTACTGTAGCATCTTGACTATTTCGGCGAAGTATAATGACGATCTCACTCCAAACAAACATTTCCATTCTCCTGAAACCCAACATACAAAGTCCACTATCTAGTTACACATGCCACACAACAACAATTCAGCTTCTCCCAGCATCTTAACAGGGGCAGAGTGCAGTCTACATCTACACATAATATTTGTCAGTATATCGGTAACCACTGGTTCATCGTTTCTCACTGGTGGGAGCTTAAACCAACATTACATGACATTTAAATATTATTTCTTTCATGAATGGCTCCCAAAACAAAAACCTGTATTCCCATGATTGGTTGTTTTTTTTTTAAAACCCAATTATTTTTGTCTTCAGCTTGTCCCAGTCTAGGGCTGCTGTTGCCAGGTAACGTTATGGTGTCTGGTTTGGTGCTTCTTGAGCTCTGCACCCATTTACCTCTTTGAGTGCTTCGTGGTTCCTCATGCACGGTGCTGAGTGGCAGCGTTGATTCGTTATGAATGTACAAAACATCTGACCAGCAGGTATTGGAAAATTGTATCCAGGCAATGCCCTGGATTTTGTAATAAACTAAGAGATCTTTTAGAATGGTTCAGCATCAGAATGTCTTCTTTTCACGATACTGAATCGTTCCTGTTCATAGATTTCGTGAGCTTAATTCGTTTATGACACAGCTATTAAAAAAAATGGTTCTGTTCAGAGTTGGTTTAGCTACACTGGAGAATGCTGGGTTTACCAGGGAGCACTGGTGCAGGGAACTGAAGGACGTTGCCCAGGTCCGTTGGAACCTGTCCTGAAGACTCGGATGGAGCAGCGGGAGCCCGTGGAGGATGACACGAGAGACTGACACGGACTGAGGCAGTAAGAAGGAAAGAGGCTCCGCACTGCAAGGCTGCCTGTAGGGTTTTTTTTTTTTCCAGTTTTCCTGCTTCTTTCAGTCCCAGGCTGTCCAAAACTCGTAGGTCACTGAAGTAGTTTTGTTTGGTAGGCTTCTGAATGGTTTTTTTTTTTTTTAATTTGTATTTCTTACTTTTTTTCTTTGTCCATAGTCCTCATCGGATCAATGAGTTGCAACGTGCAGCGGGCTGTGTCATACCCACTCCTGGACAGGTCTTTTGTAATACACAACGTTTTGCTGCACCTCTTTGTTTTTAAACTGGAAGATTGTGTATACCAAGACAAGGATACACAGAGACAAAATGCAAGGGATCACAACTGCGATTGCATTTACAGTGCTAGGCACATCGTTTATTGTCACCATAATATCCACGTCGTCGTGGGGGAGGCGCCTGTCTTTGCTCCGTTCAACGTCCTTCTGGTTACAGCCCATCCAGTCCTTGAGGATTGACCTGGGGTAGCCCGGCTCCACGCTCAGCCTCTGGTTATCGAACTTCCAGTACTCCTTCCCTTTGTAAAAGTAGGTATAAACTAGGAGACAAAACAGAGAGGGTTTCTCACCACACCGTTACCAACATAACCTGCAGAACCACACTGTGTTTGCAAGACTACTTCAGGTCCCTGTTCATGCAGCCTGGCTCAGCCCTACAGCCCTCGTCTCACCCTGCAGCCCCAAATTTAAACACGGCCTCAATAGCACAAGCCCCTTCCTTTAGTTCTTTCCCCAGCTGGAAGAGGAAGAGATCTTCAAATCAGAGAAAGAAATGGGTTGGAAGGAGCCTCTGGAGATCCAACCCCTTACTCAGAGCATGGTTAACTTCAGAGTACATCAGGCAGGTCAGAGCCTCTAACAGTGACTGTGTGAACTACAGGTGAGAAACTAGGAGGAAAATGTAAGTTCTCACAGTCAGGGCCCCAGAAAACTCGAGTAGGGACTATTGTGGCAGCAATATTCAGAACACCCCGCATCCAACACCCCAGCTCCCAAGGCAGACAAGCTGCTACTGCTCTAAGAGCTGCAACGACTGCAGATACATACAGCCTTCTTTGCTGATAAAAGCTCCCTGCGGAGCCTGAGGGATTCCTCTCCAGACGGTGATGGGCTTTGGGTACCCCGGGTCCGTGGCCCTCTTGTCCTCGTTGTACCTCCAGTACCTGTCGCCCTTGAAGAAGTAGGTTTTGCCCACGGGCTCCCAGCGCAGAGCCGTGTCGATGCCTTCCCGGGGCAGGCAGCTCCCCAGCTCCACCAGGCTGTGTGGGTAGCCCGGCTCTGCTGTCACCTCTTTAAAAACCCAGTATTTATCTCCTAGAGATGAACGGGGACACAAACAACAAACAGATTTGCCTCGTTAGTAGTTGAATCAATTGAAATGCAAAAGGACGCTTGCCAAGAAGGTAGCGAGGGTCATTGAAAGAGCTTTAAACTAGGTTTGAAGGAGGGGGAATGAAACCTCACTAGAAATAAGCCTGGGGATGGCATGCCAATGTGTGAGGGGCAGTGTCCTTTGGTCTGCCACCTCGGAGGACGTGGGGGACAGTAATCCAAGTGACAGCAAAGATGCAAAGGTCATTGATGGGTTAGAAACCACAGTGAATTGAGAGCTCCCTTCAAAAGTGTTGGGATCAGCAGCCCAACTGAAGTGCAACCACAGCAATGCACACAGCATCCCTTTGTCCCTTGGAGATGGGCCTACCCCATCATTTGCTAGCAGGCCTGGTGGTGTATCCATGGTAAAAAACAAAATACAAAGCACCAAATTCTACTCATCACTGCAGGCTTGGAGCCAGGTATTTATCTCCTGGCCCTTCCCTCATCATTCCCTGTAATAGCAATGATAGAGGAGAACACTACATACGCTCCAGATCCCTTCACCATTTGTCCCAAGCCCTGAACTCCTCCTTGAATGCTCTCAAACTTCTTGTTGAGACATCATCACTGCCTGTTTGGAAAATCAGTACAGGACAGTGATCCCTGGGCCTGACCAGAGGAGGATGTTTTCTATTTACAGCTTTAACCCAGGCCCCAGGTAGGCCATAGACTTCCCTGCGAAATGGGTCTGGTCTGCATATTGGGCCTTCTGTTCTCTTCAGAAGGGAGTCCCCCTGACAATGACCCATCTTTTCCTCTTTATGGAAGCCATTTTTAAGTTGTCTTCACCTTGGGAATGGTTCTAAGCCATGAGGACCATCGTCCTCATTAAGGTTTGCTTCCACTTGCAGAGCTTTGCGTCTGTTATATGAGGGAAACTGGGAGGTTGAGGCTGTCTCAGGGGAGACATTTGCTGCTGGGCAGGAACTTGCTGCCACTTCCCCTTGTCTCTTGAATTTCTCTGTTCAGCAGAGCAGAGAGAGGACAGGGAGTCCTCTGCTGCATGAGTCATGCTGCCTGCTGGGACTGAGGCAGGGAGGAGGTGTTGTCCCAGTGTCAACCTCACGCTCCCTGATAGTACCAACCTGCTCACCTCTTCATGGAGCTCTGTCACCAAGCGAAGCATTTCCTCCACCCCTCCCACAGATGAGCTCACCACTGGTGTCTGATACTGGTGTGAAAGAGGGGCACACCCCACCACCCAAAATTGAGGTGGCAGATGGAAGAGCTCCACCTGGGAGGCTGCATCACTCATTGGAGGTGTAGACCTTGGAGAGCCCTTGGGTTTCTGCTGCGTGGACACTGTGATTCCCTGGTACTTCTGACAGAGCTCCAGCATCCTGCCTGCACACCCAGCCTGCACCTCCTGAGTGCACAAACCAGCCTGCACCTCCTGCCTGCACACCCACCCTGCACACCCAGCCTGCACACCCTAACTGCACCTCCTGCCTGCACCTCCTGCCTGCACACCCTACCTGCACACCCTGCCTGTGCAAACCACCGCGCCTTGGCTGCCACGCCGCACCCTGTTTGTCGGCCCCGGTCATGGGTTCTCCCTAAGGCTTTATTTTTTGGGAGTCAGTGCTGGCTGCACCCACGCCCTCCAACGAGCTGCCCTCCCTCAGTGGTGCCTTGGCTTTTCCCTGGCTCAGGGAAGCTTGGGAAAAGCCTCTTTCTGCTACGATTTCCTGCTCTGGTGCAGATGTGCCTGCTGCAGAGCTGTTCGCTTCAGCAAAATTCTGAACCTCCCAATTTCATTATGTGCTGCTCCTCAGCGCTTGTTCCAGAGGAGGTGTTAAACACCCTTAAACACCCTTTTCCCATTCACCTTCCCTAGGCCTGTCACAACTTCAAATACTGCTCTCACACCCTTTGCCATCCCTCACTCAGGCTGAGGAGTTCCTTGGAGGAGGTCAGCCCATAATTTTCAACCATTTCTGTTGCCTTTCTCTGAACCTTCTCAAGTTTTAATACAGGTTATTGAGCTGAGGGATGGAAACTGCAGACATAAAAACTAAACTATAATTTTAAAGGTATTCAGTGTATAATTTTAAGTGAATTTGGTGTATAATTTATATACTAAACTATATTTTAAGCATTAGCGGTTGCTTGAAGTGTCCCCCTGGAAAAGGACAAGGATGCAGCACACCCGTTTCCACCACCTTCATGCCATAAAAGACAGTGAAGCGAGGCAGCTGTGGTATGGTTGTACTGCAGTGTACTGTACCTTTGAAGAAAACGAATTTTCCATCAGAGCGCTCATAGGCCGCATCAATCTTTGCGGGGAGGCCTTTCCAGAACTGCTCGATCTGCATGGGGTACCCTTCCTGCACTCGGTTGTTGCGCAGACGCCAGAACCAGCGATCCTGAGAAAACCAGAAGCGTCTTCAGGCTCAGTATTTTAATCTCGTGCTCAAATCAGGCTGGGTGTCCAGCACCAAGCGTTACTAATCCCTAGGCCCCAAAACCATTAAAGACAGAAGTGCTGGTCCAGATGACAGCTCCAACCCAGCCCTACAGTGAGGGAAGCCCTTCGTGAGGAAGATGACAGCCAAAAGGGTGAGAAAGGGTGCTGGTGCTGTGAAAAAGGGTGGAAAGAAGGAGAGGGAAAAGGAGCCAGGGAAGCAAGTCCACAGTTATACACGTTATGAACTCATTTGTGAGTGACCTCTCTTGTCACTGAGGTGTCACACTTGCCCTGGTACAGCTGATGCTCGACTATCTGACCCCAGGGGAGACACTCGGCCTTAAAATTAACTGCTAACCATGTGCAGCACACCACGTCCAAAGGCCCAAAGGAGTTATTAAATATCCCTTTGGCCAGGAGATCACTGGTTACAGCTGTAGTGGATGCTCAGGGATAAGATAGAGCCTGTGAGACTTCCAGATACTGTCCCAGCCTTCAACTGTTGTCAGTTCAGGCCTTTTCTGCAACTGCTGTGGTTTGTCCGTGTAATGACCTTCAACATATCCCTCTCCACCATTTCCAAACATTACAGCACCAATCTGCTGACATTTCCTTCTAATACCGCTCACTCAGCAGCCTCAGAGGAACAGAGCTATTTACACAGACATTTCAACTCTCGCTTCCTTACACTTCTATTAATCTTGTCCAGCAGTAAAACTAAAGAGAGACCCCTGGGTAAGCAGCAATTCCTGAGTACCTTGAAAACAAACATTTCTCCTCTAAAGAGAGCCACGGTGTTGAAGTTGCCATCGCAGATGTTCGGTTTGGTGCCGGGAGGAGAGGGCCTGTCGCCCAGAGGAGGACTGGGAGGTCTCGGCTGTCTCTCGTGTTTTCTTTCCGAAGTGGAGTGAATTCTGCGAACAGGAAGAGTCGGTAAAGGCCTGGTTGGCTCCAGGGGCTCAATGGGAGGACCTAGAAATGAAAAGACAAACGTTTAGCAAAGCGGACAAGTTTGGTTTCTCTGTGTTTCCCTCGTAGGTTTTAAAAGGCAAAAAGCTGGATGAATTTGCAAGGAATTTACATACTCCTTATGCAGAGCTCGTGCCCTAGAAATGGGGAGCAGAACAAGATGTGTCCGCACGTGAAAGGTGTCCCAAAACAGCAGTAAGAACTGAAGAAGAGCCAGTGGTTTTGTAGGTCTTCCCAAGGAGGCTGCAGCTAAAAGGAAGGAAGAGCCACCCCAATCACGTTCCCAACTGAAATGAAAGGTAATAATCCTTGAATAGAAATGGTTAGTAGAGCATTAAAAAAAGAACAAATTAAAAAAAGAACAAAACCAAAGCAAAACCAGAAAAAAAGTTAGGGTGTGAAAACCAATGCTACAGTCTAAGGGGAACTGCAGGGGAATTTGTAATTTCCCTTAAAATATTCGTCTCACTCTTTCACTGCAAGCCACGGATTTTTTCCTTGCTATCTTTTGCTTCTCTTCACGTTTTTACACATTCTGGGTCTTCTAACTTATCCTCATTGAAGCCTTGTCTCTTGTGGTTATACAGACTGCATTTGAACTGCTGCCTTCGCTCTGTCACTGAGGGTGGGTACAGAGAGAAGGTGGAAGGTCATCCTAGAGCTACACACGTGCAAAGAGCAGAGGAGCACACACACCATGGAAATCCTCGGGTCCAAGCGCAAGGCAAGGCCGAATTTAGTCTGCACTTAGGGGGATGGAAAGCAGAAGCCCGGAAGAACATTTTTTCTCCATTGCTGAAGAAAGATGCTACTTTGTAAGACCTAAACTGCTTCAGAGGACAACCTGGCACGAAAGCAGAATGAAGAGCCCCTACGTAATTTGCCAGTCATTACTATTTCCAGAATCTCATCACGGCAACCTGCCTCCAAAACAGATGTCTAAAGGCAGGATGTGACAGGTTTAGCAGCAGCAGAGGTGACCGTGCAAACAGAGATGCTGGCACCTTGGGATTTATTACAGGAGCTGATTACACCCATCACTGATAAAACTAATCAGGCAGTACCCCAGGCAAACCACAGCCTCTGTCACTGCGTTTTCAAGCAATTCAAGAATCGGTCAGAGCAAATCTCATCTGGAGAGAGATTAAGTGAGAGAGGCTATTGCATGGGCCTGCAATTGGACCTGAAGCCAGCCACCTAGTTATTGTGTGATGTTACTGATACCAGCACCGGAGCCAAACGCACCCTGGGGCTGAACCTGCAGCCACTTCCACATGGGAAGCAGGGAAGAAAGCTCCTGGAGCTGGAAAATCTCTGTTCTGGAGGAGAGCAACTTGCTGGGACTTTATTTACTGTGTGGAGAAGAAGATTCCTTCCTCTCTGTCACAACCAAGGCAAAGAATATCAGAAAGCTTTTGGGTCACAGCAGATCACCTTCAGAGTGTGACTTCCACCACTGGCACTTAGCCTCCTCCCTTCATGCTTCCTCAGTCGCAGACCATCTGAATACCAAGGTGACCTGTGAAGATAACACAGAGAGAGGAGGCATTTAGGAGCCACTGTGTCGATAGTTGAGGACAAAATCTAAGCGTACTGTCCTCCTGGCTATTGACAGAGTGTTCCCTCAACTGCACAGCACCTGCCTGCAGGATCAGCATCTCTCACGGCTCAGCATTTGTCACAGCTCGGCGGCTTTCCAAGCCTGCCAGCGCAGAGGACACCCTTCATTTCAGGTCTGGAGAGCTCCACCTGCAAACAAAGGCCTGTCTTTCTCTTAATTTTCATGCCAAGAATAAAATTATCATCCAGACTACAGACAGGCAGTTACGCTTTTGAACAGCACACAGGGGTTTTCTGGTTGGAAAAAGCTGAGGTGCCTGCGTGTATCAGCTGCCCAGGCACACAGGAAAGGCTCCTCAGTTTCAAACCAAAATGTGTGATCCAAATGAGCCAGGGAGAGTGAGAGAAACCCCCCTGGCTGCTCTGCAGATGCCAGGGCAGCAGAGAGAGAGGTCCTGGTTCATGTGAAATGAGCCAGCTGCCCACAGCCCTCTCAGGGATGAGAGATGGTCCATCCACAACAGCTCAGAGCTCAGGAAGGACTCATTTCCCTTGCTCACTTGGTAAACCTGTCCACAGAGCGCTCTGCACTCCCGGGGTTTGACTCCAGCAGCAAAGTGAATTATATATATATGTGTGTGTATATATATAAATATATATATATATTTCAGTTAGGGTGGGTGCTCTCGCCACAGCGCACTACAGTCTGCAGAACAAGCCCCAGCACCCACAGGTACCCAAAGGTTGGGAGGCTGAGGCCCTTGTGATAAAACTGGGTGGCAGGAAGGGTTTCTCAAGCCCTTCTTGCATAGATGCTCTCCTCTGAATGACCAACTGCCACCCAGGTGATAGAGCATTCACCTGGAAGTGTCCATGGCTGAAATCCTTGCTCTAATCCAACGGGAATGCTCTCCTGGGCTCTGTAACAAAGCCATTCACCTTGAGGGTGGCTTCTCTGCTTTGGATGCAACAAAGCTGGGTCCAAAATTCCCAGCTTAGGTAGGCAAATGATGAGAGTTTGGGGCTCTGCAAGATGCTCCAGCTGTGGTGCTTGCAGCCCAGTTCCCCTCTGGCAAAACTTTAAGAAGCCTGACATCTGCTCCACTGCAAAACAGAACATTTTTTAATACTCAGAGATATCTGCAGGATGAGAGAAGTATTTCAAGCCCAGTCTTAACACAGAGCAGTGTTTCTCATCAGGTGAGAAACCTCCCAAAAGAGGTGGGCTTCCTCCTCTCACACCCAATGTGTGCAGCTCTGGGGCTGATGTGGGCATGGGTGTGAGATGTGGCAGAGTCCTCCAGGTCTCAGCTACAACCCAAGGACAGCACCGGGAACCAGGAGGTTCCTCCTTGTCTGTTTTGTTGAGGAATGGGGATGCAGACCTGGCACACAGCAGGTGAGACTCAGTGGAAGCACAAGAGGTGGAGTCTGGTATCAGAAAACAGTCCTGCGCCTCATGTTTCCAGCAATGCTTGCTCTGATAGTCCCACTCACAGTGCAGTGTCACCATGTGGAGCATTTTGCATCTATCTGCTGTTTCACAGATCACAGAATGTCAGGAGTGGGAAGGGACCTGGAAAGCTCCCCCAGTGCAGCCCCTGTCACAGCAGGATCACCAGAGCAGTCACACAGGAACACGGCCAGGGCTTTGGGTGTCTCCACACAAGGAGACTCCACAACCTCTCTGGGCAGCCTGGGCCATGCTCCATAACCCTCACACTCACAAACTTTGGCCTCATCTTCAGCTTGAACCTCCTGTGCTCCAGCTTGGGACCATTGCCCCTTGTCCTGGCATTGGCCATCCCAGAGCAGAGCCTGGCTCCTTCCTCCTGACACTGCCCTTTCCAAATGGATCCCCAGGAATGAGGGCACCCCTCAGTCTCCTCTGCTCCAAGCTCAAGAGCCCCAGCTCCCTCAGCCGCTCCTCAGCAGGAGATGCTCCACTCCCTCCAGCATCTTTGTGGCCCTGCTGGACTCTTTCAAGCAGTTCCTGTCCTTCTTGAACTGAGGGGCCCAAAACATCTCACACCATCTCACACACACACGTAGCTTACAAGGATCTGCGATTGCTCTATGGGCCACCACTGGGCAAGCTTCAGGGAGGTTCTGAAAGCAGTGGCTGCTGCACAGCAGTAATGAGGCCAGCAGAAGGTGCTCTTTGCTCAAGGACACCGTGCCCTGCTGAGTCCCTGCTCCTGGGTGTCAGAGCTGGCGCTGTCTACTCCTCGGCCAGGGGCTGCTGTGGTGTCATGAACACCCCCGACCTCAGTGCTCAGGGGATGCAGCACGAACACTGACTGGGAGCTCTTCTCTTGGGCTGCAGAAAAGGTTGACAGTGTGTGAGGTTAACGTGCCCTCAGTGAGATTTGGGGGTGACCCAGATCCATGAGAGGAAGTTAATGTAACAGGATATCCACACATAATGGTGTTATTTCCTACAAAATGGGATTATTTCCATTTTAATTCCTTCCTGGGCATGTAACCTGTGACATGGGCACAAAAGTACAGCGGGAGGTATCCTTCTGAAAAAGACATGCAAAGAAGTCATGATATTTCCCCCGTCTGGTCAAGGAATATGCTACAAGAAGCACCTACCAGAAGATGGAAACACTGCTGAGTTGTCTTACAGCCTACTCTGTCACACACATGGAGCTGCAGGCCCTTTTTAGTGGAAAGAACATTTTAAACATTGACCTTCTACTAACCACCACGAGGCACAAACAGGAGTTCACATCACCTACTGTCTCTTTAGGTGAGTTTTGAAAGAAATCCAGCAGAAAATAACTTAATAATTCAACAAACCATTACCTGACAGATTTAGACATATTGCTTTCCTAAGGGATAAACACAGATACAATATAAAAGTATATGTTAAACACATCATTCTCAAAAGGAGACAAAATGCACTTAAGCTTTAGTAGAGCCTCTGTTCTTTCTTCCAGCAACTTCAGTGGAATGAAAGAGGGAAAGTTTTAATTGAATCTGTTTTTTTAAGGATGCTACAGGCAAGGCAGTGGCTCTGGCTGTATGACTTATTTTGCACAGCAGGTTCCTAAATAATACGTATTCAGTACATGCTGCCACACGGGAGGGAATGTCAAAGCAGCAAGAAAGCAGGAGGTTTTGATTTTTGGACAGGTGCTCTGGTAGATGGGCTTTTGGCACTCCCAAGGCACAACAGAGCAGATGGGCACTGTGGAAATAGAGCACATGAGTTGAGTGGTGCTGCTCAAGCTCCAAGGAGGATATTTCAGCAGCCCCTTCTCAGTTTAAGGAGCTCAGATGAAAGGATATGTTCTCGTATCTCCAGTTCCAGGGAGGAACATAACCTGCATTTTCCATCTTTTCTTTGTGAACCGCAAGAGTAAACCTGTTTTTAAACTAAACTTTAAATTTTGGACCGTAACTCTGTGCTAAGGGATGAAATCAATGAGGAATCAAAGCTCCGACTGCAGAAGCTGCTCCTTGTCCCACAGCATCAGTTATCTCTACACCACCAGCACCATTCCCAACCCACCCCAGTTCAAAGGCCTCAGAGACGAACCCTGCGTGACTCCACGGCAGTCAACAAACTCATTTCTAATTGCCCCCTGCACCAGGTAGTAACTCATTCCTACTGCTTCACAAATCTCCAGGGCCCTGAGGACACAAATAGGGGTTAATGGCCCTGCCCAGCATCACCCAGTGCCTCTGCTCCCACCCATGGGCCCAGGAGCCCCATTTCAGCTCAGCCCTGGGCACTGGGTCCCTGCCCAAGCTGTGCTGGGGGAGCGCTGGTCCCCAGCTCAGCCACAGCCGATTTCAGCTTGAACCACAAATGTGAAGAAGCACGGCTGGCAATTCCTTATCTGCTCCCTTTCCAAAAAGGTATCTGGAAACAGAGAAACCAGTAATTTCTTCTTGATTGCAGTTTGAACTGTCAGTGATAAATTAGGATTTTCTTCTTTCTCATTAGTCAAAGCTCACAGGAACTAAATCAACATTTCAAAATAGAAACAGCATCGTGATACTTCAGCAGCTTTCAAAAATGAAAACTTAGGTACATTATTTAAAGTTTAATACTTACTAGCCAGCACTTTATTTCAAAACCATCCAGAGTCTCTGTTATGCCGAGCATTTCAACACATATTACGTTGAAGTACGCATAATTAAATGATACCATAGGACAACTGCCATGCAACTTCATGCTGGTAATGAGCGATAAAGAGAAATCTTCAGCTGCACTAATGGGAAGAGCCAGTTTCGCCTGGGTGTGCTTCAAGCCACCTTATTTTAATGTTGGACCTTACTTGGATATCTGCCTTACAGAGAGGATGAACCGCACTCTGCAAACGCCTGCTTTTTCCCATTGCCCAGACATGAGACAGCGAAACGAGCTGTTCTTTAGGCATCAACATTTGAACCAATGAATCTCATTCCAGTCACAATAAAAAAATACAGAAATCAGACTCAAACAATTGACATCCAGTTCAGACCTCTAAAGCCTTGCCGTACTGCTTTAGAGGTTTATGGGTTTTGGCACAAACTCTATTAGCAGAAGTTCAAAATTCACCGATTCACACTGTAAAATACCGTCTAGATTCGAGCTCAGTGTAAAGAGCTGAGTGGACAGCGCTGCTCACCATAGATTTTCTGAATCCCCTGGAGGTCGTCCTGAGGCAGTTTGAAGTTGTGCGTTTCCATGTACTGGTAGAAAGGCGCCATGATAGCACTGGGGTCGTTGGAGTGCTCCAGTCCCAGCGCATGCCCCAGCTCATGCACTGCCACCAGGAAGAGATCGTTCCCTGCGGGAGGAAGGCACAGCCAGGTTAGCGCACAGCCACGGCCTGACACAATCCCAAACCTCGATTATTCATAAAGCAAGAAGCAAATGCTTTGTTATCCTATCACACAGCAGGTCACAGTGCCAGGGCCAGCTCCTGGAGGTGGTTTGAGTCCTGAAAGCCTGTGCAGCTTTGTTTCATTGTCACAGAATGGGCAGGAGGCTCCCAGGCCGTGATCACCCATGGCCATGAGCAGCCTCAGACCCGGTAAAACAGGCAGCTGCCCGCGGTGAAGGGGTACAAACTGCAGACTCTCTTGTAGAGAGTTTACAGAAAATGGCCAACAAAGTCGGTTGCTTTGATACCATTGCCACCTTAGGTGAGTGCTGCCAAGAGGTGAGAGCACTGCCAGTCTAAATGAACGAGGGTACATGGTCCTTCAGTGCCATGCTTTGATCTGACCTGGACCAAATCCTAGGTGAGATCTCTAAGGCAGGAGGAAGGACTGAGAGGACCAGGGCTAACACCCACCGTAGCACAGGTAGTACCTGGGACATCCCCATCTCCTCTGGCACAGGCTCAACGTGCTTTGACTTTGCTGGACTCCTGGCACTGCCGTGTCTGCAGCAGGAGGTGAGCACAGTTAGCACCATCCCACACAGTTAGCAGAGCCACAGAAAGAAACGTTGGGTTAGATCCCGATGGCAGGAGGGAGAAGGAAGGAGGAAAGAAGTGACATGCTCCTGACAGGAAGAGAAAGGGCTAAGGAGCCCTGTCTGGCCCAGAAGCTGGTAGGAGTGTGAAGTAGGGGTACCTTCATCTCTACGTTACAGGCATACACTCCTCTTCAGTCCTTGGGTCTGGGACCCTCATCTCCTTGACCTAGTGTGGTCCCTGGATGTCCTACTCCATGAGGGCACCTTGACATGGGAGGTGACACAGGCAATGCTGTGTGAGGGACAAAGACACAGCCAACAAGGACAGATATAAAAGAGTCTCCCCCTGCCAGTAAAATATTTGAGCCCTCAATTCTGCCTTTTTTTTTGGCAAGGCACAACCAAGAGAAAACACGTGGCAGTGGCAGCTCAGTGGCTGCTTTGTAGCATCTCCAAACAGAGGATCTCAGCTCTCCACATCTCCAAACTGCACCAGTCTTAGAGGTAACAAAGCTCAGGTTGGTGTACGTGGCTGAGCTCTCCTTGGGACAGGAGTTGCAACACCGACTCATGTAGGACTATCTCCACTTCTTAAATACTTATTGCTTCACTGTTACCCATAAAAACATGGCAACGTAGGTTCAGGGGTCTGCGAGACTTCACAGCGGGGTGCTTTGCCAGCATCTCAAGACACCTAAATTCAGTAACAAACAGTGCTCAACCACCACACCAAAATGGTTAAGCTGTCTAAACATTTGCGTTGGAGGGCATAAGCACCTGAATATGCAAGATGTTAAAATATGCAAGTCAACTCAAAAGAAATGTTCAAATACAAACATCCAAAAACACACGTGGGCTAAAATTTAGCCATCATGTATTTAAAATTGCAGATTTTCTGTGTACAGGAAATCCAAATGGGGACTTAGTAATTTTTTTCTCATCTGTTGCTGAAAAATCTGGTGTGTGCAGAACACGTCAATAAAATGGCCAACGGCAGAGTATAAAACGCATTAAGCAGTTTCATGGTAAAGTTCAGAGGACTGATCACTCTTCATGGGTTTTCAAAAGCACTCAAGCTTAGAAGATGCACCCTGCTTTCAGAAGGGATTCAAAGACTCAAAGCCCTGTTGAAAATTAAATGGACTTACTCTCCTACATCACTTAAACACTTCATTGCCACCACAAGTACTCACATAAGGAAGTTGATGGCAAAAGTCACTCAGTACAGAGCTCTCATGAAAGTCAGCTCGGTATTGAGTGACTTCTACCACGGTCTTATGGGCAAGTACATGGAGACTTTTTCCCTCGTTAAGCTGGTGACATTTTCCTCCTTGTTGAAGTATGCAGAGTCTCTGCACTGACAGCACATCTAGAACTTGTCTCTGTGTGAGCCCACAGATAAATCTATGCACGTTACTTACCTCTGTGTGCTAAACCTTTATAAGATCAGACACTACCTTCATTTAAATAAGTTTGAAACAGCCTTCCATCGCTTGTTTCTGCCCAAAGCAAACGCCAGCCCACTTTACAGCTGGAAAACAGAATCACTTGCAGAATTGTTAAGGTTGGAAGAGAGCTTTGTCAGGTTCCTGTCAGCCCATTTCTCCAGCCTCTCGAGGTCTGTCTGAATGGCAGCATCACTGTTTCATATATCAACCACTCCTCCTCTGATTTTCACCTTCAGCTGGAAAAAGAGCGGCTACATGAGGTGATAAACTTCTTGAGAAAGGGTTTTCTTTGTGAACTTCTGGCACATGCCTCCTTGTACAGTTTCATTCATTTTAATTATGAAAGTCTATATTAAAACCTTTTCTTCATTGCATCGTAGGGTATCCAACTGCTGTAGGTCAGCAAAACACTCATTTGTTTACAGTAACAGCTCACAGGAATACTGTTATGGCAATATTGTGGTATCAGTATTTATCCCTGTGCACCACAGCCATATACAGAGCAGTAAGGAGTGTAAGTAGGCTCTGTAGAGCACCTAGCACAGTGTAGTGTAAATCCAAGACAGAGCTTCTAAGACAACAGAAGTGCAAATAATACTGTGTGTCTGATTAATAATAGAAAACCAACTGTGAATCTCAGATCTCAGTCAATTAGTCTTATACTTTATGAACCGTATCATCACGCTAACACATCTGCAGTTTACTCAGACGTAATTAAAAAGACATATGAAGGTTACGTTCTGAAATTTTATTAAAGCAAGAATGATACTGAACAAGCCAGCTCATTGGTTGTGACAGCAGCATGCCTAGGGTAATTACAGAAAGGATGGTGTAAACTGAACATGCTTTAAATACACCCAAATGATCCCTTCCACTCCAACAGCCACGTAGAGGCAATTGCTTTCCAAGCACAACTTAGAGAAGCTTTAGGGCTACTCTAAGCTATGCCTTGGTTCTTGCATCTTCAGACCTGGTAGGTGTGAACTGTCCAAGAGAAGAACATCTGATCTGTCTGTATCTCTCCATTCACCTCCACCATGTGCTCTGCTCAAGAAAAGCTTTTCAGTCTTCTGAAGACCTTGAAGAAGTGGCGATACAGCTCGTCCATTTGTTTCTGTCAAATGAGATGTGGAAAACAGCTTTTCTAGCTAGAAAGGAAGGAAATACATGTTAAAAAGAAATAGAGATTTCATTTTGTTCATAAACTATTATCATTACAAACGTAGCAATGAATACGATGCATCTTAAGGACTCCATGAAAACTCTTTAAACAGCTTCAACACGGTTCCTGATGGGGCTGTAAGGACTGAGTAGGACTGAGAAGCACAAGAACCGGGATCTAAGAGACACTCCCCTTTCAAAGCAGTGTCCATGGTGGATTTGGGTACCGAAGGCAATAGCAGTTACACTGTCTTCAGAAACAAGAGAGAAAAAACCACGCAGTTTAAACAACTCCCAAGTTTGCACTTGGTTATGATGCCAAAATCGAGAGTATTGGCTGTCACTTCACTACTGATGCTACAATCTACCTCTGACTGCAGCAGGAGCAAACTGCAGTCAAGAATCCATCTATTTTTCATTTTCTCTCTTCCTGAACGCCTGTTATTTTTCGCTCCTCTCCCCTTCAGCAAGTGGAATGCAGCAAGTTTATTAGAGGTACTGCTGTGTTTTGGCTTACTTCACATCATCTGCTTCTGCTTTACAAAGCAAAGCAGCAAAAAAAAGAGGCTTTTTGGCTCACCTTGATTCTCATGACCTGCCTTTTTTACAGTTGGGTTTTTTTCTTCCTTTTTAGGGGAATGACACATCACTTTGACCCCTATGGGCTCCTTCCTACAAATCTCAGAGTTTCTCATTCTCTGTGGAAAGAAGTAAAATATTTTAGTTTGATCACACAGAAACCAACAGGATTCCACATACCTACATAACTGTATTCACACTCTGTGTATCAAACAATTACTGACAAGAGGAATGGATAATAATTTTCTTTATAGAGCACTCTGAACATCAGGTGTATTTACAAGGGCATTGCTTTGCAAGTGGAATTTGCAGGTGATCCTTATGAATGAATTTCAGCAGTAATCACTACTGTGAAGCTTTAAAAATCCTCACTGCACTAGCAGAGCACTGCTTAATGCCACCTGTGTCTGTATAAAGACAGTATATACATGAAAAGAAAGCACTACTTACAGAGATGCTGTCCAGTAGCGAAGAGGAAGAACCTGAAGACAGAAATCTTCCACGTGTGCTGGTGGACTTTCTCTCTCCACTTCACTTTTGCAGAAGATTTTAAGTTGCAAGTTCTCTATTTATGGCCTTTTATGTTTGGTTGACATGACAGGGACGTCATCTCAAACTGCTGCTGAGTTAAGCCACTTGATTTGATTTCTTTTTACTGTGGCTGGCTCTCTTGAGACCATGTGTCTATATGTTGCTCAAATTTGGTTCAACATTAGCACACGATTTTAGAGAACTCTGGCTCATGGGAACAAATGTCTTGAAGCAGTTACAGGATGAAACCAGTGTTAAGTAGGGATGCTCTAGAGACTAAATACTGAACTGGTCTTCTTCAGTCCACAGAAGTACTGACCAACAGCGTGATCTGGTGGAGTGAAGTATCATAAAAAGGCCTGATAAATTGAAATTTTAATACAATTTATGCCCCACTTGACTTCCAACATCCATCTGACAGTCTTTCAGATAACAGGTCTTCTGTGTTAAAGCACACGTGAGTTTTCAAGAGAGTGCCAAGTGCCTGAAAAAGAAATGATGAATGCAAAATGCCATTTGTTAGAATACGACTCTTCAGATGTGGAGATGTTCTGCACCTGAGAAACCAGAGAAAGAAAATTCAAAAAGCATTTAACAGCCAAAGAGCACAAAGATTACAGGTGTACTGTGTTGTGAGTACACCTCC